AGGGTGGGCTGTGCTGTCTGAAGGAGGGTGACAGTGCACTGCTGTCCTCAGCACAGTCCTACCTGCCTGAGCACTGCCAGCTCAGAGAAGTTTTGTTCTGAAAGATCTCCTCTCCTTGACCTATTTTTTTTTTTTTTTTGCCCACATCCATGGCCTGCGTTGTGTCCTGAGGAAGGGATCACACTGCTCGAAGGCCCTTTATTTTTAGCCAGCCCAATTTCTTGTTGCAGCTGAGTGGGAGCTGCTCCTTTCAGTGCTGCTCCATCACAGCTCCTGCATTTTATTGCCCCTGACGATCTCTGTACATCCCCTGCTCACTCTGGGGGTTACCATTCCCTTATCACTGATTTCATTCCTCCTCCTGTGTCCTGCTCAGCCTCTCCCACTCTCCATGGATGAATCTCTGGTTTCCTCTGGCCCTTGGCTTGCAGGATGGACCAGCCATTCACAGCCACCAGCYTTGTCCTGGACCTCAGCCCCTCCCCAAACCCTCCCCTTCTGCCTGCTCCAATAACCTTGGCAGTGCTTCCCTTCCTCCCAAATGCCAGGAAATTGGAAATTATGCTTTAGCCACATAAAAATCAATGGTTTGGCCCTGCTCCTTCTGCCTTTACCGGGGCAGGAGGRAGCTGCTGTTTTCCAGTGAACTCTGAGCAGGGATTTATCGTCGTGACCCATCCTGTCCAGGAGCTGATAAATTCATTTTCCTCAGCCCAYCCACGCAGCCCAGAGCAGTGCCTCGTGCTTGGCATGAGGCCACAGGTGTGGGCTCAGAACTGCCCAGGATATTTCCTTCCTGTGACTGCGGAGCAAGAGGTGAGGACTCACTCCCAGACCTGGGTGCAATGCCAAAACTCATTTCATTTCCCAAAGAACTCAGGCCCAGCAAGGGCCATGTGCAGTTTGCATCAGCATCTGTTGCTCCAAGGCAAGGAGAAATTCATTAGGAGGGCTGCAGATTACATTGCAGCCTGTCTTTATTATCCCCTGGACTACCCCAGAAGGCACAGCGTGATCAGAGGAGCAGGAACACTTCTAAGGTTCTATTTCTTGGAAATCTTCRGGGCTCTGTTCTTTTAATTTAAAATCCAGCTCCTGTTGGAAACCAAACAGCCACAGGAAGCACAACACAATTGATAAAGGTCACTGTGGGCTGAATCCTTGCTGATAATCAAGCCAGCTCCTGTTGTTGTCCTGGAAAAACCTTTCTCTTGGTGGCCCTGTGAGTTCTCCAGGTGCTGGATGTGAGGAAGGTTTGTTTCAAGCTGCTCTGCATCATCCCTGCCCTGTGCCCCTCACCTCAGGCTGAGTTCTGTRAGGCAGTAATAGGCATCAGTCTCTAATTTCCGTGATTTCATGGAAATTGAAGTGTGAGAGGGAAAAGGAATGAGGCAATTGAGAGGAGCAGCTCTGATGCCTGAGCCCTGTCACACCAACAGAAAYRAMACCAAATGGGTCCATTTGCCAGTGCCTGATGCTGGTGGGCAACAAATCACAGGAAACACTCACTTATTTCCCTCTGAGTGGCTTTATCTGGACCTTCACATACTCCCTACTATGGTTTTTGGCTCGTTATTAACGAMAAAAATGTGCAGGGAGGATGGTTGTTGATGATACACGAGCCAAGAATAGATTTCAGTTCCTTTCACCATTTTGGCACCAAAATGCCAGGAGGGATGAGACACCCTGTAGTAAATGCTGCTCATTTTGAGGCAGCAATGAGAAAATATGGCTGTGTCTGGGTTAGGGAGGAGAATGGATGAGCCTCACAGAGGACATACAGGATCTGTGTTTCGGCTGTTTGGTTGCTGAATCAAAAGGGAATCTGTAGGGATGGGAAATGGCAAAATCCCTCGGAAATGGCACATTCAGGGCTGATGTGCTGCTCTGCCCCACAGCCCTGATTTCTTCTTTTCCTGCTGCCTCCTAATTTGTCAGGGAAAAGAGAATCTGAGCATCTCCTCAGCGCTGCACTCCTTGGGCCCCTAGCAKGGAGGAATTCCTCCTGGGAACACATCCTCCTCCTCTGGAGCTGAGGGAAGCACGAAATGAGAACATTAAAAATGAGGCCACTTAGCAAAGCCAAAGGTGCAGGAGTGTGAGCTGGAGAACTCCCTCGGGCTGTCTGGAGCCAGCAATCCCTTCCTGGAGGTTGGAACAGGCTCAGTGTGAGCGTAGGAAGAGACAGATCCTCAATTTCAGATGGAAGGGAATTGTCAGAGCTGCTGCAGCGCTCGAGGGTGCGAGTGCATCTGCTTCCTCCCTGCTTGGGACTCGGGGTCAGATGCCATAATTAAAGACTTTCTCTGTCTTCCACTCAAGAATTTGATCCTCTTCCAGCAGCTTTTCTCTCTCATTGCTGCCCAGGCAGGGAGCTGGAGGGGCAGACAGACCTTGGAGATTGCATCTGTTCAGTCAGTGCCTTCCTTTGCACTCCACAACKTTCCTTCACATGAATCCAAATGAAACTGCTGCAAGCCCAGCCCAATATTGAGTTTCTGGGGAACTGGTGCTGAAGATTTTTTAGAAAGAAGTGCTGGGGGTGAGCTCTGCAGGATCTCAGAGCTCCCCAGAGTGCTGGAGCAGCAGGAAACCTCTCTTAGCATCGTCTGCTCGCTTTCACCACGAGGGAATTATGGCACAACATTATCCTTGGAGGCTTTCAGGTGTAAAAGTACAAGCTGTGAGGACTTTTGGCATCTCTGAGAGTCACAGTAAGCAAGTGAGAATTGGTATTTTTGCATCAGAGGCACGAGAAAAAAAGCAGCCTGCTCCAGTGTGCTGGGCCGTGTAGTCAGTGCCTTCCTTTGGACTTCACAACTTTCCTTCACATGAATCCAAATGAAACTGCTGCAAGCCCAGCCCAAGAATGAGCTTTTGGGGAGCTGGTGCTGAGGATTTTTTAGAAAGAAGTGCTGGGGGTGAGCACTGCAGGATCTCAGAGTGCTGGAGCTGCAGGAAACCTCTCTTAGCATCGTCTGCTCGCTTTCACCACGAGGGAATTATGGCACAACATTATCCTTGGAGGCTTTCAGGTGTAAAAGTACAAGCTGTGAGGACTTTTGGCATCTCTGAGAGTCACGGTAAGCAAGTGAGAATTGGTATTTTTGCATCAGAGGAAAGCAGCCTGCTCCAGTGTGCTGGGCTGTGTTGGAACAGCRACCGGCAGGATTTGTGTCTCTGATTTAATCAGCGAAGCCACCACCTTCACCAGGGAGATAACAGCACCAGAACTGCTCCTCCGAGGGATCTGCTCACCCAGGGAGCACAGGAGGGATGGAGCCACTAAAACAAGGCTGGTGCAGTTCAAAAGGCAGCCCAAGGAAGATGCAGCTGCTCCTCCAGGCAGCAGCTTTTGTCGTCCTGCTGGGGTTTTATGTTTTTTCCTCGTTGCTGGATAGCAGCAAAACGAGCCTTGGAAAATACACATTGCACAGCACTTACCTGTGATCCATTCTGCCTTTAGAAAAGCAGTCAGAGGCCCTGTCTGCCTCCTCCCTACTCCACACAAAACCATCTTGCACTCGTATTTTTATCCTTCTTTATCCTTCTTTATCCTTCTTCCTTTTATTCCTTTCATCTTCTGTTGCTGTGGGGTTTTCTCCCCCATCCTACACATATTAATTTCACTTTTTTCCACTGCACCAAGGACTCTGATTTCTGGTGCTGTTTTATCAGTCTGCAGGGCACCATAGGAACTGCTAATTTCCCTAAAGTAGCAAATGTGCAATAAAATAATAATAACAGAAAAAAAAAGGATCCTCTGCAAAAGTGACATGGGGATGAGGGAAGATTTTCCTTTAATGTTTAACTGCAGATTTCTGTCCCCATTTCCCTGCCTCCCTCCACAGCAGAAGGTGGGKTTGGACTGGGGAGGGTCCTGGCAGCTGTGGTGAGAGCAATGCAACAAAAAAAAGGCAATTTATTGTGTCACACCACTCTGCTTCCGGGTGTTGGATGATGCTGTAAATATATCATGGCTTTTACAAAATTATCATGATCTGCTGATGGGTGAGTCTGTCCTGGAAGAGGAGAAGTGGCAGTGTTGGAGGGTGATGGGATGGGAGATAGTGATGGGAGCTGCTCAGGGCTGGGGGCTGGTCCGAGCAGCTTTGTTAATTATTGTTAATGAGTGTGGTGCCCCTGAGCCTCAGYGGGATCCTGCACTGCCCCAAAAAAGCTTTCTGGGGGGAGAAGGAGCTGTAGGTCAGCCCCACCCTTGAGCAGATCCATGCCTGCTCCGGCTGGAAAGCAGGAGGAAATCTGCAGGATCTCCTGAGGAAAAAAAAAAACCCAGCCAAGAGCTGCTCCTGGTCTGGGCTGTGCCATTCCCYCATCCCAAAYAAAGGAGCTGCTCCTGGTTCATGCKGTGCCATTCCCACATCCCGAGCCACACAGCTGCTCTCGGTCAATTCTGTGCCATTCCCACATCCCAAACCACAGCTCAGGTGTTGCCTTGAAAGGCAGTTTTTAGTAATGACACAGACATGGTTAAGGGGTTAAAAAGGGTTTTACCTCGGTATTTGGGATCCCAGGTGCACAACTTGATGGCAGAATGCACACCAGTGTACAGCACGGGTACAAGTTTCATAGATTTCAGGAATCAGCATATCTATCCAGGATTCCCCAATAAGAAACTTCACAGATGCAGTAACGTCCCCCTATTCTAATGAATCCCCCCCAGATGAGGCCACAGCCCAGTTTACACAAGATGTTCTGGACAGAAGGCTTCACCCAAGGCTGAGCTCGGGTTTAAGATAGCACAGGGCACACTGAGCCCTTCCTGAGCATGTTTGTTCTCTCTGCCCAGCAGAACTCCTAAACTAAGCTGGAATACCAGCTACAGGAATTACAAACATGTGGATTAAGGTGTACAGGCAGATGCATAGAGGGTACAGAATCATAAAAAGAAAAGCAAAAACCATCAGGCATCACAGGCAGGGTTTGTTTCCCACTCTCCACATCTCAGTAGCACTCTGGTGTCCCTTTCCAGCTCATCCATCCTCCACCCTGCACCCCTGGCAGCGCGGTGGCCGCCCCTCCGCGCAGAGGAGCTGCCGGCTCTCGCCGCGCCCGCCGCCTGCAGCCCCCGATGCTGTTGGCCATGAGCGCCTGCAGCAGGAAAGCTCTGACCCTGCTCAGCAGCGTGTTCGCCGTCTGCGGCCTCGGCCTCCTGGGCATCTCGGTCAGCACCGACTACTGGCTCTACCTGGAGGAGGGCATCGTGCAGCCSCAGAACCAGACGGCCGAGATCAAGCTGTCGCTGCACTCGGGGCTCTGGAGGGTTTGCTTCCTGGCAGGTATGGTGTCCCGGCCCTAAAACATCCCCTCGGGTTGTGGTGTGCCAGTATCCAGCAGGGAAGGGCTGAGAAAAATGGGATTTGTAGAGGATCTGCCCCACTGTGCTTCCAAACTTTCAGCAAGTCATCGACATTAGCAGCCCAAAGGATAAATGTGCCTTTGCACACAGGCTCTGGGGAGTTGGCTCTGCCCTGCCAGACCCCCCGCCCTGCTCCAGAGCTGCAGCCACGACGCCTTGGGCAGCAGCTAAAAACTTTCCATCTCATCCCTGCAGAATTCAGATTCAGGTCAGCTGGAGCGTTCCCTCCGTCTGCGCCAAGTTGGACGGAGCGATTTGGCTGCGGGGACAGGGTTGAACAGAACCCAAGGGAACAGGGATCTCAAAGTGACCAACCTGGAAGGTCACAAAGTTACAACAGCTCTGGGACAGTCAGGGGAGGAGTGGAGAGCTCTGATATCACCCCTGGGGTGACCTGAAAGCCTGTGGGGTTCACGTGTTTGTCTGTGTGTGCCGCAGGGGAGGAGCGCGGCCGCTGCTTCACCATCGAGTACGTCATGCCCATGAACATCCAGCTGACATCTGAATCCACAATCAACGTCCTCAGTGAGTGTGGCCATGGGCTCTCACCCTTCAGGCCCTGCAGGGCATCAAGGGGTCACTAAGGACCTGAGAAATTCCCTTTGTTTTCCCTGCCAGAGAAGCTCTGAGTTCTTTTTTTTTGCTGTGGGAATTACCCAGTGTTCTCCCAACCCTTTGGGGACATCCCTTSTAATGGCAGGGTGCCCACAGAGAATCTGAGCTGTACAATTTCCTGTCACTGGCTATTCAGCACTAATGTTTATCAGAGTGCTTGGCTTTTTAGTCTCCTCTCCAGAATCCGCAGCTGTTTTTATTCCCTAGCAGTCAATTTTGCACATTATATGGTGGGATGAATTAAGGATGGAGCRTCACAGCTCTCATGATGAATTCTGCAGTCTGATTTAATAAATAGAAGTGTTCTGCAAACACTTATGGAGCGAAGCTGGAGAAAAATGCAGATTCTATGGCTTCCTATGCAACATTTCACTCAGGAACCCTCAGAAATGCAAACAGGAGCAGAGTCACCACCGTGGAGGTGGCCACTTGCACAAATTGCCCAGAGAATCTGTGGGTGCTCCATCCCTGGACGTGTTCAGGGCGAGCTTGGGTGGGGCTTGGAGCAGGGAGCTGGAACGTAAGGTCCCTTCCAACCCAAATCCKTCTGTGATTCCATAATTTTATTTTTCTCAGTAGCAAAGAAAGAAGCCCCAGACACAGCGGGGTCTGAGCAGGAGGGTTGGTGCCCTCTCACCCTGCCAAGCCCATTTCTCACCCTATTTAGGGAATATTGACCTGTCCTCACGTCCCTCTGCTCCTCTCCCAACAGAGATGATCCGCTCTGCCACCCCCTTCCCCCTGGTCAGCCTTTTCTTCATGTTCATCGGCTTCATCCTGAGCAACATCGGCCACATCCGGCCCCACAGGACCATCCTGGCCTTCGTCTCGGGGATATTCTTTATCCTGTCAGGTGGGTTTTGCAGCCCAGCTTTCCTCCTGGCAGCCCTGGTGCTCCCCAAACCCACCTGGTGGCTCCTTGTTGGGATCATCACCCCGCAGCCTGGTCAGTGTGGAAATGTGTGGAAAAGCAGGTTCTGGGGGAGTGGGGATGCTTCTCGAGGCACATCAGTGGCAGGAGAGATCTGAAACTTCCAGCTGCTCGCTGGGGCTGTGTTTGCACGAGGAGGGAATGTTTTATTCATGCTGTTGTGCGAGTGCTAAACAAATAGCTGTGACAGGAGAGCTTTGAAGCAGCTCCCTCCTCGCAGTGCACACAGCCTTGCCTGAGCAGGAAATGTGTCACTGGAATGAGAGGAATGCCCTGGGTTGGTGCAGCATCAGGCCAGCTCCTTTCCCTGCTTATTCCAAGCACACTCCCACAATTTTTTCACTTTCCCCCAAAAGTCAGGTCTTGAGGATTCTCCATCCCTGAAGGGTTTTCCTTGTGCAGGTCTGTCCCTCGTGGTGGGGCTGGTCCTCTACATATCCAGCATTAACGACGAGATGCTCAACAGGACCAAGGACTCGGAATCCTTCTTCAATTACAAATACGGCTGGTCCTTTGCCTTCTCTGCCATCTCCTTCCTTCTCACAGAGGTACCACATCCCTGTAAAAGTGGATCCCACTCCCAGGGGTGGGCACAGAGTGGGCTGGGATGGGGTTTAGGGAAGGGCTGTGAGGTCAGAGGGGATATACTGGGGGAGACAGACCCAGCCTGGAGCACTGAGAGGTCATTTGGTCACAATTTGATGCCAACCATGCAATGCAGAGGAGGAGGAGATGTGGTTGTGCCACACTCACTGCACAGGGCTCTTTGGTACATCACCAGTGTTGCCTTGAAAGGCCAGTTTTTAATAATGACACAGACATGGTTAAGGGGATAAAAAGGGTTTTACCTCGGTATTTGGGATCCCAGGTGCACAACTTGATGGCAGAATGCATCCCTGTGTACAGCATGGGTACAAGTTTTATAGGTTTCAGGAATCTGCATATCTATCTAGGATTCCCCAATAAGAAACTTCACAAATGCAGTAATGTCCCCCTATTCTAATGAATCCCTCCCAGATGAGGCCAGAGCCCAGTTTACACAAGATGTTCTGGACAGAAGGCTTCACCCAAGGCTGAGCTCAGGTTTAAGCTTCATCCAAGGCTGAGCTCGGGTTTAAGACAGCACAGGGCACACTGAGCCCTTCCTCAGGATGTTTGGTCTCTCTGCCCAGCAGAACTCCTAAACTAAGCTGGAATATCAAGCTTCAGGAATTACAAACATGTGGGCTAAGGGGTACAGGCGGATGCATAGAGGGTACAGAAGCRTAAAAGAAAAAGCAGAAATCATCACTAGCAGCACAAAAAAGGGTGATTTCCATCCCATTGTGCCCATTGGARCAGCCACACCGTGTTTCTGTCCCGCAGAGCGCCGGGGTGATGTCCGTGTACCTGTTCATGAAGCGCTACACGGCCGAGGACCTGTACCGGCCCCATCCCGGCTTCTACCGGCCCCGCCTGAGCAACTGCTCCGACTACTCGGGCCAGTTCCTGCACCCGGACGCCTGGGCACGGGGCCGCAGCCCCTCGGACATCTCCAGCGAGGCGTCCCTGCAGATGAACACCAGCTATCCAGCCCTGCTCAAGTGTCCTGACTATGACCAGATGTCATCGTCACCGTGCTGAGCCCGGCCGGCCCCGCGCCCGCTCCCGCGGCTCCATTTGTCCTTTCGTTCAGGCCGCTCTTCCCGGGCCAATTCTCTATTTGTAGGAGCGTAAAAATATAAGCAGAGAGGTTGGTTGTATGACTGGTAGTGTAAACTAGAGAACTGGGATGTTAACATTTCTTTGGGGTTTTTTTTTTGGGTTGTTTTATTCCTCCCTGTATAACTCTCCAAAGTCTCCCTTCTCATCCCACTGAGCAGTTCTGCCTGGGGGATAAATCCAGGGCTGGACTCGAGAGCAGGAAAAAGAAAATAGACTAGAACTAAGGCAAAAAAAACAAAAAAAAGTGTATTTTTTTGGTGTAGGTAGGTAGGCTGCTAAAATTTGTGCATTTGACTGTATCATTGAATTCTATATTTACCGGCCCGAGCGCCAGCAGGCATCAAAGATTTGTGTAACTTTCCAAGAAATAACCAGCATTGGAAAAATATGAATTTTGTCTTTACTGAGCACTCACTGATTGGTATCTCTTGCTGCTGGATGTCACTCCCAGCAGGGCTGGAATGGGAAATAGCCATCCTTCAATACCTCAGCAGGCTCGGACACCAGCAAATTGCTGCTTAAATATCCCCTGTTGGACTGGAGACACCCTGGGGTGCTGGGCTGGASGGGGGGATGGCTCCAGCACCCAAATTTCCTCTGCCATCCCACAGACAGGAGGGCTGACAGGTAAATGGGAGGATTTCAGTGTAGCATCAAATAGGAAACAACCAAAAACCTTTCCCGTGGGAAATATTAGRTGCAGGATTTGGGGGAAATTGTGGCCAGAATTTATTTCAGTGAAAGGCAAGATCCCAAACCGGTGTGAAGTGATATAGGGGAGATGATTGGAACAAGTCCACTGCAGCAAAGTACTTTCATTTTGGCAAGAAAATAATATTTTTGCTGCTTTTTGTGTATGTGTGTGTGTGTATAAAGTTTATTTTGAGGTTTTAAGTTTTAAAATTTCTTTTGATGCTTTGGCATTTTGGCCTTAGCCAGCTGTCAGGGGAGAGCATGGCTCTGGTGGAAAACAAAAGGCTGTGATCCCTGTGAGCCCCAGCCTGTCACCTTGCAGGAGAAAGAGCTTTGTCCAAACTTTATTTCTGTTCTCGTTATTTTCRACCTTTCTGAAAATTTCCTTTCTGCAAAACAAAACAGTCTGGGGTTTCCTGGTATATTTGAGCTGGGGTTTTGTCTTACTGTTAATTAAAAGAAATGTAATACACACGGTTTTAACCTCATTTGTAGCACGCTGAGTGATGAATGTTGCACCTCTTTGTTGTTATTATTTAATATTAATATTTATTATTTTCTATTCAGTATTTTTATTTGTGAACTCCTCCAAAGTARGGGCCAAGTGTTGTGTGTTAATCCTGAGCCGCATCATGAGATGTCCCTTTCCCCGAGTGGAATTTTCCTTTGCACTGATTAAATACAGAATTATTCATTTTCAAAATTAAAATGTTTGCCTACACAAGCAGAAGAAATTAAAGGAAAAAAAAAAAAAAACCCTCAAACTTCATGCCTTCCTCAAGGCCCCAGAAGGTTTAGCAGAGTCTAGGGGCGAATTAGAAAAGTAATTATTTTAATTCATTGGAGAGATTCTCATCGTGTGGCTGCATTTGTGAGCCTGGGAGTTCACACATTCACCCAGCGAGCACGAGCGCAGGACTGCCAGCAGAAATCTGTTCAAATCAGTGTTTGCTGGTGCTTCTGCTAAAATCAGTGTTTGCTGGTGCTTCTGCTAAAATCAGTGTTTGCTGGTGGGTCAGTAAAGGCAGTTTTGGGTGGGAAAAGGTGGCTTTTGCAGATGGCTGGCAGCAGTGGCTGTGCTCTGGGTGCTCTGGGTGCTCTGGGTGCTCTGGTGCTCTGGGTGCTCTGGGTGCTCTGGGTGCTGTTCTGCCCCTCCAGCAGCACCTGCAGTGGCTGCAGCTCTCTCTGCGGATGGCTGTGGGTTTCTCAGTGCAGTTTTCACTCTTTCAGGGACTGGGGAGAAGCTTTTCCAGAGCCTTGGATCCTGGGAGAGGTGGCCAGAGTGAGGGACGAGCCCGGCCACGCTGCCCAGCCCTGCTGCCCCTCCAGGCTGGGGCTCTCCAAGCAATAAATGCTCAGTAAATACCTTCAACACCCTTTTAGGACATCTTTTAATCATTTTGTCACCTCTTCCAGTCCCCTGGCACGGTTTTATTTATCCCCATCCTTCCTTCTTGAGGAGCAACACTCAGGAACCTCCTTCAGTCTCTCTCCCACCCACATCAGTGATGGTCTCTGTGCTCTGTGTCTGTTCCTTTGACTGCCACAAATCAAAGGTGGAGTTTGAGGCTAAACTGCCAATTAAATTGGAGGTTTTACCCCTGTAAGTCCTTAACTCACCCGAAGGGATGAGCCAAGCCTCCCCCAGGCCGTGGGAAGGTGGCTGGTGGCTGACACTGCACAGAAAATGGTTTGTGCTTCCAGCACAAAAACCCTGGTGTGGCACAAATAACTGATTGTGGTCAGAGTGTTTGTGCACGTGGCTGTGTCTGCTTGAGCTCAGAGTGGGTTAGTGGCATTAAGGGTCAAAGAAAGGCTCCAGAGCACTTTCTTGCACAGTGAAAAATTACGATTAAATATAAAAATTCCCATCTAGGTGCAGATGACCTGCTGGTGCTGCTCGTGCCCAGGATGGCGTGGAGCTGTCGGCCAGGCAGGCAGAAGCAAACCCCTTCATCCTGGATGAACTCTGCTGTTTCATCATCTGGGTTAAAGAGCTGTGCCCTCAATCAGCTTCAAGCAGACAGGACCCAAAGAATTTTTTATAGGGCGTTTTCCAGGCACACACCCCTGTGGCAGAGTGAGGAGCTGACTCGCTGTGCACAGCACAGGGATTTCCAGCTCTGCTCTCAGCTCCTTGTGCTGCATTATTAATGCTGTTTGTCAAGGCTGCCTATTCATTTTCCCAAATGTGAKCTGGCCCCATGGGCTGTTCAAGGTGTGCTGAGAAATTAAATTTTCTTGTTCCTCCCCGCTGGTGGCTCGTTAGCCGTGCAGGGCTGGTGGGCCTATGCTGGGGATGCTCTCTGAGAATTATCCTGAGTAAATACTCCTCCACTAATGAGAAAAAGCTGAGAGATATTTATTTTCTTCTTCCTTCCTCATGGGATTTATTTATTTTCCTCCTATTTTTCCCCCCAATTTGACAGTCAAACCTTCCTAGGAAAAAAAAAAACCAGCTTTTTTTCCTTCTTGTTTTCCTCATCCAGTTTTGGGGTCTCAGTAGGGTTTTCTCCATCCCACTGCAGAACCCTTTGCTCCTTTCACTCTTCTTTGTGCAAACTGGCTGCCCCACAGCTGGGCTGGCCACAGGCAGGGAGCAGGGTGTCTCTAGGTGTCCCCAGGGTGTCCCCAAGTGTCCCCAAGTGTCCCCAAGTGTCCCCAGGGTGTCCCCAAGTGTCCCCAGGTGTCCCCAGGGTGTCCCCAGGGTGTCCCCAGGGTGTCCCCAGTGCCCTGGCTGCTCCGTGGGTGCCACCGGGGCTGGGATGCTCCCCTGACCTTTCCTCTGTGCACTGCAGGTTGCTGTCTGTAGCTGCTGTGTGGATGTCACATCCCAACCTGTTCCCATGGATACAGGAGAGTGGAGAGAGAGCAGAGCTGCCTCGTTGCTTTATCTTCATGTAGGGTTTTATCTCCCTCAGATTCTGGGGTTTGGTGGCCTCAGTGGGCAGTGGRATTACAGGGCTTTAATTTAATTACAGCCCCGTGTGGCTTTAATTACAGAGATGTAACCCTTCTTCTTTCCACACCTCCTCCTTGAGTCTCTGGTCAATTCAGTCTTTACAGAAGAAAGATTATTTATTATTATTATTCTTACAATTTGCAACACAGAAAAACACTATTTCAACAAAAATACATTAGCCCCACTCCACTGWGTTGGCAGATTCTGTCCCAAGAGCTGGACTCAAGGAATGCATTGATTCTAACTGGATATTTTCATCTCTTGAGCAGTTTGTACCGAGATATTCTGTGGGTTCTGTCCAGCATTTTTCATCAAACCACCTCAGAACTCCCCAAGCCTCATCCCTCACTCCATCTCCAGCRAAAGCAGCATCATTCACACTGAAAYTGTGATTAATATGCCTTGGAAATACGCAGCACCAGCAGCCAAGGTTATTCCCCCCAAAAAAGCCATCAGTTTTGTCATCCGGACAAACCTCCTGTGTTTGATGTGATGAGACACAACTGCTTTTAATCTTTAATGTTGGGACAGCATGGATTCATTTCCTCAGAGGCAAACTGAGTGTCCCAGGGGTGCAGAGGGGTCCCAAGGTTTGGGTTATCCCAGGTTTTGCAGTTCCTTTTGCAGTTCCAGCTGCTCCTCAGTCCTGGTTGAACAGCTCATTTTGGAACAAAGCCACTCTCACCCCAACTGGTGCCATCGAGCACCTCTAAATCTGCACATATTTAAACCCCCAGACCTGAGATTCAGCTTTGATGTTAATTAATAAAGTGTTTAGAGTGCCTTGGACTCCAGCAGATCCACCTCAGGGCCAAAGTTAAACCCAAAACTCTGCAGAACAAGAGCTGCTCTTCGTTCAACAACATTTGGTCGTGGGGTTTTSTTTAGAGGGGCTGGAAGGCACAAAGGAGGAAACAGCGCAGAGACACGATCATAAATTTATTATTTTCTGTRGTGATCACGTTTTTAATGAGTTACAGGCTCACAAAAGTACAACCCCGAGGTGCTCACATGTGCCTGACATCCTGACACGCTCCGGCTTCCCGCTGCAACTGCAGGGGAGGAGCTGCCAAGGGAGCTGGAAGGTGTTATTTAATTAATACCAGCTAATTGGAATAAAGACCCAGATGTCACTCTGCTGCTCCCGAGGGGAGTGTGGGGAGTTCAGCTCGGTGGGAAAGGGGACACGCTCCGTGTCATGAGAGGGAGCAGCAGGGGCTGWGCTGTCAGGGCTCATCCTGCTCGATTCTTTCTGTTTCATAAATCAATCTCTGGCATTCGGGTTCAGCAGAAATCACTGCTGAAAGGGTCTAAATGCTGGTTTTTTGTGCCTCCAGCTCCGTTCCTGCTGAGGTGAGGRATAAGAGAAGCATCCATGGCACTGGCCAAGGCTGTGTAGTGCCCAGTCAACGCCTTACACTGAAA